TATGCACCTCCCTGCTTCAATTACATCACTGCAGTTTTCAACAGAACCCAGTAAACCCCTCAGAAAAGGAAACCAATGAAACACAACAAGATGCTGTACACCTGTCTTGGATGCTTGAAGTTTTCTTGGGGGTTTTTTGTTTGTGTGTTTGTTTTGTTCATTTAGTTGGGCAGGTTTATCAAATAAGGCTTTGAGTAGGTAATCGGTCTTTTATCTGCAACAAAAAAGCTAGTGATCTAGAAAGCCTGTAGACTTTGAACAGGAAAAGTAAATGTATGCGGCACTTGTGTTTCTGTTAATTAGAAACAACAGTCATTATTATCAGAAGAAGAGGAATATACTACTGGCTCAGAGGTCACTGAGGATGAAGTGGGGGATGAAGAGGAAGTATGCAGGAAACCAGGTATAATTATCTCTGTTTTCACAAGGCTTCTCTGAAAATTTGGAATTGGAATACAATCCTTAATTTCTTAGTCACTTGAAATCTTCATAAGTAAATTCTATCATAAACTACCTGCCTTGAATTATATTATTGGCTGTCTCAGAGACAATTGCCTGTGGCAGCTATGCTCTTCTGGAAATCATACCAGCAAACAACAAACAAAAGGACAGGTAGAGGGTGTCTGATTTAAAGGCGCATTTATTGGAAGGGCTCCTGTCAGATCTGCTTATCCTTTCCTCACCTAAATTAATGTGGGAGGAGAAGTAAAGGGTCAGATTACTAGTCCTGTGCTTGCATCCTTTACAGCAGTATTTCTGGGCCTTTGCCTTTGAACACACTGGTTCCTTATTGCAGATTGGCAAGGGCTAGATGGAACAAGCACTTGTCTTAATTTTCCTAGGATTCCAGTGAGCCTTCCTCTCTTCTTCTGTACCAGGCGGGGGGGGGGAATGTCCTAGGGTTACCGTGCTCTGCCCTAGCGCCCCCTACCGTGTCAAGTTTGGGTTAAAGCACCCTCATTCTTGCCCACCACATCTGGATCTTATAAAAGTTAAAGGGTGGTTGCCTCTTGTTCCCCTGGTCACGGTTCCTGCTACCTCGATCCTTGTTTATATAACGGGGTTCCGAACACCCCAGCCTTATGGGCTATGTGTGGCTCCAACCACCCCTGTACCATGCCCTAAGCCTCGCAGAACTATCAGACATTGTTTGGTATTAGCTGCAGCCCTCGTCACTCACGGTGCCCCCCAGCGCTCGGGCTCCCCGCGGCCCTTGTCACTCACGTCGCCTCCTTGTTCTGGGGCTTCTCATGCTGCCCACACTCAGGGCTTCCCACTGCTCAGGCTCGGGGCTGGGGTTCCCACACTGTTGTGGTTCCCCTATGAGGCCAGCAGGGAACTGCCTGTCTGGCCTCAGCCTGGGAGTTATATAAGAGCCAGGCCCTGCCCCTTCCAGTCAGCTGACTTCCCTTGGTTACCCTGGCAACCAGCAGCTAGGCTCCCTGCTTATTGATTCACCAGTAGCAGGCACCTCAGTGCCCTGCTACATCTTCCATCATGCTCACTATCTCCCACACATATACATGGTTTTGAGTAGGTGAGATATATCAGGAGGTATGAGGCAGAATGCTGCTCATTGTCAGCTATCCTGGTAGGTAAGTTTTATGAATAATGCCCATGCATTAGAGTTGTGTGGGTGAAAGAGTGCAAGGTTTGGGAAAAGAACAGAGGTCACAAGAAGAGAAAACAACAGACAGAGATAAATGCCTGCTGTTCCCTTACATTTCAGAGTGCAGGAAGATGATTTTTACAAACCATATAGTAAGGGGAGTCAAACTTATCTGTGCCTCAAGGCCAGATCCAGACCACAGGGTTCCTAATGGGCTTCATCTGGACCACAAGAAGTCTTGGGCCTGATTCAGACCCAATAGAGGTGATAGAGTGACTGGCAGTTGTGTAAGAGTTAATGTGACTGTTGCACACACCCCCTGCCACCAACGTGTATGCCCATAAGAGCACTCAGATTTTGACAGCTGGTCTTACCCCCACTTACTTTGCCCCCAAATTCCTGGCTCCTCTACCAACCCCACGCACCATATTTGACATGCTTGCCATACAGCATTTGCTAGTAAATAGTGAAGTGTTAGAGCTGAACTCCATGTTAAAACAAATTCAACCCCAAACTGTTGTGAGTTGCTGTCCTTCAACATTCTTCTCTTTTTACTGGACTGATGCACAAAATTATTTTAATGGATCTGTGCTGTGCAAATTGGTGAGATGGATAATGTTCATTCAGCAGCACTATGGGCCAAATGAAAATAATGTCTTGATGCATTAAGCACCGTACAAATAAAAGGCATTCTTTACTTTGAATTGCTTGCTGGCCAAATGACAAGGACAGAAAAAGAAGGTGGAAAAAGGGTATAGTGTACAGTGTGATGACTAGCCAGTGGCACGATAGCATCAAAAATGTGTTCTCTTCTTTCAGTCTTTTGGTGGTTATGGTAGAAGGGGCTAGCTGCACAGCAAGATGAAGGGAAGGGGTTGGAGCAAATGATCATGGGACATTCTCTCCTCTGTCAAAAGTGAAGACTGTGGAAAACTATATGATGTCCTCAAGGCCTTTGGTCCCTGATTAAATTTAATGGGGTATCACTTTAAGCACAGAGAAATAGTGTGTAAAGCTATATAGAGATTGTACAAGTATACTCAAGCTTTTCACTGTGGATGTTGTCATTAATCTATAAATAGACTTTGCTGATTACTACTTACATAGGAATGGCAAAGTCTCTGTGCAGCTACTGTGATGACTGATGGCTGTGTTTGTTACTAGATAGTGCTTTAATTAGCAGGGAGAAAAGAGAAGCTAAAGAAGTTTATCAAACATCCAAAGAAACAAGTGTCTTCACCCAGTGTCCAAAAAAGGGAGAAACCATCTGAGAAGGTAAATCTGACCTGTGCAGCAGACTATTCATCCTAGTCAGTCTTCTGAGAGAAAATGTGCTTAGGAACATACTTTCTGTTTCCTTTGGCAGTCAAATTCTCGAGATGCATCTCCATTCATGTAAGTAGTTCTCCCCAGTCCTTGGCAACATCCAGTGAGAAATCCCACTTAGTAGTGTGCTATTGACAACACTCTTGTGTGTGTTTATATTTTTAACCAGTGTGAGTATGCAGCAGAACAAGTGGGATGCCTCCAGATCACTGAGATTCAACCAAGATGCTCAGAGAGAAGATGGTCAGTTTTTCAGTTGTGAATAGAAATTTACTATTATTCTGTAAATGGTATGTTACAGTAAAATGCTCAGCTTAGGAATTTTGAGGCTGGATGTAATCTCAGAATGGCTGTATACAGGTCTGCAGTGAGACCTGACCGACTTGTGCAAAGGGAGACCTGGGCCCATAACATCCCTAAAAAGCAGAGAAGTAGGGATTATTAACCATCTGTGCCAACATAGCCGTACTGCTTTCAGTTCCAGACTTTGCACATGCAGACCTGTGCACCACGCTGCTTTGCACCATTCAGAAGTACCCACTGATTCTCTTCTCTCCCTCTTGCCCTACAGACAGGTGTGAATTCACATAGCTCCACTTATTTCAGTGGGCTTCTGTTGATCTCATACCAACAGAGCTTCTTGCCCCAGCAGCTAACATGTGCTGCCTTTTCTGTTGGATGAGGTATTTTAGACTTGCTTCTATTCCATGTGAGAGAAGTGCTATAGATGACTTCCCTCAATTGGATCTTAACGTAGATTGTATATAAATATTTGGGCACAGTATACATTTAATTCTGACATTCAAAAATTGTGATAAGTGCCAGAATATAGAAGCAGCCCAGCTTCATTATGCCACACAATAATTATGAAATCTTCCTGAATATACAGAAGGGCTGAGCTCTAGGGAATGGTGCATTAGGATGAAATTAGCATTTGTAATTAACTTCTCACTTGTCTCCCACCCCTGTTCAACCCAATAAAAAACCCTCTACAGCAAGAAATAAAGGGAAAAAATTCAGACAGCATCCTACCACAAGATTGGAGATTAGGTATTGTGAATAAGCAGTGTTGGTGCCCTCACTAGGATAATTTTGGGGGGAAATGTCACATCTGAAGGGAGGCAGAGGGAAAATTCCCTTTCCGGTAGTGGATATTTTGGTTCTTAAGTGGTGGTTATTTAACATGTCATCACAAGTCATGAAGAAAGATTATGAGGTAGATGTGATCACAAAGGTGTGATATCTTTGTAAGTTTTTTGTCTCATGCCTTCATAATTTATCACTTGAGACTATTGCTTCAAGTAAGCATATTTGATTGTGGCTGTTCCCTAATCTGGGGAAAAATCAAGGTTGTACCTTAGGTGCTTCCATGTCAGCACAGCAGCTTTAGGTGCTATGGACTTGTAGCTGCACATTCAGCAGCTTCATTTAACTAGGATGTAAAGGGATGAGCTCTCTTTTTAAGGGTAGGCACCTAAAGTGGAAGTGAGGGATAGTGCTTACCTTCTACATAACAGCCTACCAGTTACCCAGAATGTGTGAGGACTGAGTTCTAATCTGTTCCGAGCCTGATGAGATTCATGCCTCCATCTCCCATGTCTTGGAAGGAAGCTGTCACCTTGGGGCTATAAAATAGGCTAAGAGGGGAGATGCCCTCCACCCCTCCCTGTGGAGCTGGGCAACTGTCCAGAAAGGAATGCAAGAAGCCTAGGGCTAGAAAGAAAAGTAAGCAAGCAGGAGCCAGATCTACAGCATACTGTTTAGGGCACTTAGCTGGAAAGGGGGAGACCAGGATTCTGGTTATTGCTCCCTGAACTGCTTTATATGTTTTACATGAGACAATCATTGGTTAATGACCAAGAAATAACTCTGAGAGCAGAAGCTAGACTGAAGTCTGCCTCATTCTGGGTACATGTCGCAACCACCAGGTTACAATATGCTGCTCCCTTTTACTATACAGCTATGAACAGCAAGTGGCTCAGCTTTAGCAGGTAGGTTGGAGGGTATTCTGTACCCTGGTGGTTGGGGCAGTCTCTGAGCACACCTAATAGAGAAGGATGCTCGGGTAACTTAGGCACCATTCCACCTCCCACCTGGATCACAGTGAAGGCAAGTTTGACATTTAACTGCCCAGACAGGGTCAATTCCGAGTTTGAATTGAAACCCAAGGTGAGGCACATTAGGGATCTCTGTGATTCAAAATATAGTCACCTAATAGTGCTGCAGCTGCTTGAGTTGAGGGTGTCTTCTGGATCATGTTTTTGCAGCTTAGCTAGATACGCTCACAAGTCCCGTTTAGGCACCTGACTTTCCGATCTGGATATTGCTGTTTTCCCTATAATTAAGGCCTCAAAGATTTGGTTGCAGTAAATGGAGTTTCCTGCTTCTTTTGGAAAACTCAAAGCCATTCCTCTAGACATTGATCTGAGTGTGCAGTGATTGTAGGTGGAGTTTCATACCTGCATAGGCCAATGGATGCTATTTCAATTCATTATCCAGACATCCTTGTACTTTCTACATGAGCCAAGACCAAGCCTTTTTTTTCTGTATACACTAGAGCCAGGGTGGCCAACCTTTAGCCCACAAATGGCATGGGCAGCCTATGTGGGTGGCATGTGACAGATCTGAGAGAAGACAGACAGCATGGGAGCAGATCAGGCAAAAAGTTGAAAGTAGAGTAACAGATTGGATAGGAGAAGGGGATCAGAGTGACACACAGAAGATGTGGGGCTTAATTTGTTGTACACTTGATTTAAAAAAAACCCAAAAAGGTTGGCCCACATTGCATTAGAGCATCCATATCACCGTCCCTTCTTCATCTTGTGGCAAGAAATATCTTTGCCTTAAATATTCTCTTTTATTACTTGCAGATCAGCGAAGGATGTCTGAGATCACAGGGCATCTAATAAAAATGAGATTGGGAGACCTGGACCGGGTCAAGTCAAAGGACAGCAAAGAAGTAAGACTTCCTAATGTGGCAACATTAATGTGAGAGAGTTTGTTCAGATCTCTTGAATTCAAGTATTTATAAAACACAAGAGTGGAATCCTTACACTTCCTGATGAATGTGAGCAGATTATAATCTGTTCTCAAAACTGCATTTGATTAATTTTGTAAAATGCTTAAGATTTCTAAATTGTTAGTGCTTTAGAAATCCTTGGCTTGGGATGTGGACAGACATCAACTTTGAAGCAGTTCGTATGCTTTTGAAGCACTCCAAAAATGGACAAAGTGCTTCCAAAACAAAGATGTTAGAATAAGGTGCTATTTAGAAGTGCTTCTTGTTATGAATGGATATTCTACGGTGTACAATATGGGACCCCTCCATCATCCCACAGTGCTCTGCTTCCCCCTGACTGTCGATGACCACTGTTCTGTGCGCTCTGCTTCTGCTCTCCTGGAGAACCCTTCTTGTTCTCCAGGAGAGAACCAGGAAACTGGAAACCCTGAAATCTCTTGCTCCCTGACAAAGGCAGGAGAATCCAGAGCTGTGAGACTGGAGACCCTGCATCTCTCGGAGCCAGGATTCCTGCTCTCCAGACCACAGTCTGCATATACCTCTCCGCATCTGGTCTCCAAGTACTTACCCCACTGGAACCAGGAGACTAGACAGCATATTACATCACTGCTGGAACTAGGTCTCCAGTCTCTTAGTTCCAGGATGGCGGGGAGGAGGAAAGAGAGTGGGGAGTGGGAAGAGAGAATCTAGGACGGGGTGGTCAACCTGAGGCACAAGTAGGACGGGCAACCTCTGTGTGGCAGATCAGGGAGGGGACAGACAGCAGAGCGGAAGATAGGGCAGGAAGCAGAAAGCAAACCAGCAAATTGGGCAGAGGAATGCAATCAAAGTAGCACTCAGAGGGTCCTAGTTTGTGGCACACCTGCCAAAAAGGTTGTTCCCCCCTGGTCTAGGAGAGCAGAGGCAGAGTGAACAAGAGTGTTTGCTGATATCATTGGGGAGAGAGGTGGAGCTACAGCCCTCAAGAGACAGGGGTTGCAGAGCTGCACTGATAATCCACTCCACTCCCCTAGACCTGTGCAGCCCTGTGTCATGGCCCTGAATGCAGCCATGGAAGTTTTAAAGCACTGTAGCCAGGGGCTGTGATGGGGCTGGAAGGCTCGGCAGCTGAAATGCTCCTTTTTTAATGTCTCAAACCTTGTTAGGCTTAGAAATGTTTCAGTTATGTCCACTTGCACCCTCAGTACATGGGATGGGTTTGAAGAGTCCTAGTGTTTGGTGCTGTGCAGCATCTGCAGTCTCGTGAGCCTGTATGATGGGAGTACATTACCTCTGCAAATATGAGTCAGTTATTTGAAAATTATTAACTTCAGGCAGTTGCAAGTTAAGCAGAAATATCGTTATGATTTGATTCCTCTGGATTTCAGCACGCAGGTGGTATTTATTCTAGACTTGAAGCTCAGATAAAGGCCTCGGCACAAGTCAGTGCTCGGCAAAACAACATGGAGAAAAACACAAGGTAAGAAGATACTGTTAAAATAGCAGGAGAAGCCGGGACAGTCCCTTGTGGGACTTTAAAAAGTGCAGCTCAATTCAAACTCTTCTTTTACATCTGCATTTTTTCCTGTACCGCTCCCTCATACTCTCACACCCCCTACATGCAATAGACAAGAGTCTATATTTTGAGCCAGTCTTTATTTTGAGCTATTATGAAATCACCTCTATATACTTTATGCAAATGCACACAAAGCAGGACAAAAATATTTTTTGAAATAAAATTCAAATGTGTTGCAAAGGTCAGCAGTTAGAGGGTGGAGCTTTCCCCCATCTAGGACAGGGATGGTCAACCTGAGGCACAGGTAGCACAGGCAACCTTTGTGTGGCAGATCAGGGAGGAGACAGCACAGCAGAAGACAGGGCAGGAAGCAGAAAGCAAACCAGCAAATTGGGCAGAAGAACGCAATCAGAGTAGCACTCAGAGGGTGCTAGTTTGTGGCACACCTGCCAAAAAGGTTGTGGCGATCAGTGCGGGGTAGTTGTCAAGGGGCAAGGCTACCCCTGCAGCCCTTGACAGCTCACCAAAAGTCATTAAGCAGCCCTCCAGCTGAAATAATTGCCCACCCCCAAACTGGAGCATGAGCAGAGTACAACACAGCATGGACATTGCTTACCCATCGGGAGTGAGGACAGTAGGCCTGTGTAAAGCAGCTAGTATTCGTGGCCCCCCCACCTCCCACTTACGGCACAGAGCCCAGATCCAGCTCCCTACGGCGGCACACAGGGACTGCCAGAATCTTCTCCGAATCAATTTGGAGGTTTCAAATCAATTTGGACTGTTTTACTGGTCCCTCAGTTTGATTTGGATTCAGAGATTCAGTTGCTGAACCAGGTTGAATCTCCTCCAAATTGACTTGGCAACCAAAGCTTCTCACAGCCCTAAAGGACAGGCTAAGATCCAGGGCTTGCTTCCATGCAGAGCAGCAGGCATGCCACTGAGCCACCAGTCCTCCAGCTTAATTTCTTCTTCTTGGCCTCTCATAGTTCCTTCTCTTTACTGCCACCCTGAAAAGGAGCACTGCAGGAGGTATCTGGGTAATGCACAACCTGTGGTGTGATGGTGTGAGACTGCACTGGGAGTTTTAGAGAGACAAAGTCAAACCCACGCTGGGTGAAGGGAGTATAGAACCGTGTGTTCCTTGCTTCCTGGAAAACTGCCTTAACCATGCAGCTGTTATGGTTAAAACTTGGGAGGACAGTTTTCCTTTTCCCATCTTTTGATTGTGGGCTTTTGGCCAGGTAGGTTTTTATGACTTACCCCAGTGGGCACATGTACAGAGCTTTTTACATACCCAACCTGGGTATAACCTACTGCACCCACTCAGTCTATGAACACACTTACGAGTACACAGGGCAGGGTGGAAAAACGACCCTTTAGGTGCACAGAGGGAAATGGAACTGCATCCATAATATACTGTTCTTTTTCTCCTGGTGCCCTGGGGTGTTTTACAGTTAGGCTTTTGGCAACTTGTACATCATAAAGAAGCAGATTTAGACAAGCAATTGAAGTAGTAAACTGACACAGTTACCGTGAGTAGGTTATTTGGATGCCAGTAATATTATGGCTAAAGGGCTTCCTGACACAGAGCTACTATTTGTTTTAAATCCAGGTCTAAATCTCGGTTTGGTCAAAGCCGTCCAACCTAAGGAACCTCATGAAGAAACCATAGCCAGAATGCATTGCTGCTTCCTGGAACTGTACTGTACTCCAGACACGGGGGACTCATTCTCTGAAAGCTTTTAAGTGACTTATTTATTTTTTACTGTAAGCCATGTAAATTATTCTGCTATGATGAATGAATGCAAATCCAGTAAGGTCTTGTAATTATTTTAATTGTAAATACACAGTTTCTTAGATTTAATCTAATTGCTTTTTTTAGGCTATTGCGTTAAGCTACATAGAAAACATTTTATACATCTGCAAAATTAAAATATTAGAAAATCCTTATTTATTTATTGAGGGGTGGGAGTCTTTTCCCTGCTAGACATTTAAAAACAATACTACTGAACTGTGAGTGTGGTTAGCAGTGTTAAAATGCATCATCTAGCACTTCTAATTTTCGTTATACATGCTGGGCTGATGTAACCCACTTAAGTCAAGGGAATTTCCTGTGAGTTGCATGAAGTGAAATGGAATCAGCCCTTTTCACACACAGTTCCCATTCATGCTAAGGTGAACATCAAGAAGGGGCTGAATCCCAGAGTTCCTGTTACATTTGACTTCCTGATGATATGGTAACTTTGCATCTCATGCATGAGGCATTAATCTTTTCAGCTTTACTGCATGGAAGACAAAATGTTCATCCCCATCTCATACCTGACTTTTCTCTTGCATCTACTATCTTTTGGTTCCCTTTTGCTTGGTCGCTAGAGAGAGTTGGGTAAGAAAGTTTCTTCCATTATTGATACCAGTGTCATTATAAATATGTTAGCACACGTGTTGCTAGCGTTGCATCTTTGAAATGAAAGAAAATCATTTTGAGGCATATTGCATATAGACTTCTGGGCCTGGAAATACCTTTCTAAACCTGCCAGAATAACCCTGGTTTGCAATAGAGTGCACTGAAATGTTCTTGTCTGTAGCAACAGAATCCAGGTTTGTCTTAGTGCACAGTCCAGTGTTACCAAAATGGAACAACTTGCATGGAACAAAATCACTTTTAAGCAAAGGAAATGGCAATAAAGCTGTATTTTGAAAACCATATTCTAAGTTTTCTAAGCGGGCAAAAGGAGCGCTCAGGGAAAATGCATTCCAGATCATAATCATCCTACAAATTATGGGTTTAGAAATAAGTTGGCAAGATCATTGAAGAAAAATCAAAAAGCTTCCTTTTAAAATGCACTGTCTCAATTTTCAGGCCTTTATTTGCCTTGTTTCTAGAGTTTTTTCATATAATTTAAATGGGAAAGAAGGTAGATACTTGAGAGAGCATGGAGAGTTTCAGTAAAAATACTAATATGAAGGTTAACTCTGTTGACACATGTCCTCCGATGTAACATCTAATTCATAGCCCACTGAAGGCAAAGGAAGATTCCCACTGACTCTCTGGTTTGTTGCTTGGGGCAGGATAGGAAAGTTTAATGCAAAGCTTTATCTTCCATTCAGACAGGAAGGTTTTATCAAAGCCTCAGACCTGCTGAGAAAAAATAATGCTGTTTTGTAATTTAAAAGTTAAGAAAATTTGTTAAATACTTGAAAAATGATCATCAGTTTCTTAAATTCAAAATGTATTAGAAACAGAGTTTGGCTTGGGTTTGAGATTTGTTTAGTATAGTATGTCCAAAACTGCATGTGTAAATTTTGCTAAGGAAGTTGTAAATTTTGCAGTTGTGTGAAGATGTGTTTTAGTTTCCTTAGAACTACTGACTTTGAAAAGGGGGAAGAAACCTCTTCTCTTCAGGAAGAGGAAAGCCTAATAAATTTGTTTTATGTAAAGGTGCCACTTTTACATGCCAGTATCCTATATAATATTCTATTCAAAACCTACATTTCTTTTTATAAACACACCTGCAATATATGTTGTGGAGGTGCAGTTCATATTTTATTAAGTATTAATGCTTATTTCCCTTGCCAGCTACCCTGAATTTTTATCCTGTATTAACTTTCAAGTCATGTTTCAGTTTAACTAAAATAAATGTTAGACTGATTTAGCAAATGCTTTGCTTTTGTGTGGACTTGCAAAAACCAAATAACTCAACTCATCCAGTACTAAAAGCTCCAAATCACAATAATTCTTCAGAAGTGAAGGCAGACGATATACTTATCTTCGAATGTTGGTTTGTAACCTTTCTTAAACCATTAAGGTATAGGTCAGTGGCCGCATCTACGTGTTTATTGCTGTGCATTAATATGCACTCCAGTGCCAGAGTTCATTGCTCCTGGCCCTGTGTTTATACACCTGGGACTGCAGCACAATGAGCCCTGTGGGAGCACCCCCAGCTGGCAGGGGAGGAGGGGTCAGCCTGCCAGCCAGCCTGGGACTGCTCCGACCTGGCTTGATACACTGAAGAGGGGATGGCTGGGGCACAACGGTGTTCCAGTGCAGAGCTAGCTGGCAGGAAGCCCCCGCACGAAAGTACTCTTGTGCACCAGTCAGCCAGGTCAGCATCTACACGTGTGTTGCTGTGTATAAAAAAAAAAAAACAGCAGATTAGTACTTGTATTTGCAAGTACTAACCTGCTGCAGAGTTTATTAGTTTCCTCCATCCTAACAGGGCTGCATTTGTAGACCTAGGCGTTTACTGCAGAGCTAATTAGGCAACTGCACAGTAAACATCTCATGCAGATCTGCCTAGTGCTTCTCAACCAATAGGTTGTAATGGGTCAAGTGCTCTTTTTGTAGTTTCACAAGGCTCATTTCTGTCCAACATCCTACTGAACAAGTGAAATGCCAAAAGGAGCCTGGAACATCAAGTCTAGTAATATCTGGGCAATAATTTAAAGGTTTCCATATAGTTTTTAGCCACTTCTCCAGTTCAACGTGAACACTTGGATGAACAAAAGTTGGCTTAAGTCAAAGCCAGGAAAGATTGAGAGGATGGTGTTGGGAAGGGTAAAACCCTTTCTTAGGATTTGACCGAACTTAATATTGCCCTTAGACAGGAGAGACTGTGCTTATGTCATCAAGGGGACAAGCAATCTTTTCATCCTCTTACAGTCAAAGTGCTATATGCCATCTACTGTGGGCCAAGAGTCTGCCCCTCCCTGTTAGGTACAGACTTGGCCACTTGCAGGCTCAGCAACTCCAATGCACTGTACCTGCACATGAGTATAATTTCTGCAAATAAATGTCATGCTGTACAGCAGCAGCCAGCTGTCTCAGAAGCACAGATTGATAAGAACCTATCACCCAGCTCCCCCATTTGCTGTAGGTCCAAATCCAGATCTTGTCCTCAATCAGTTAGGCTCCAGGTTTAGGGACTAATTTTACATTATTGTGGCCTTCCATAGATGCTGCATTCATTGAGGTGTTGAAGCATCCTATGCTTCGGGTGAAGCTTATCAGCACTAGGGGCATGGTTTTCTTAGTGGCTGAGCCTGAGCTATGAGCTTCCTTATCAGACAGACTGCTCCCCACTTCCTTTCCGGAAACTCTAGATTTCTCACAACACCCTTAAGGTGCTGATCCCTCCTCTGCCCTGCAACACAACTCTTCCCCTGTCCAACTCAAAAAAAACCCGAAACCCTTTTACAACACGGATTTGTGGCAGGATTGCTGAAGGAAGAGGAAAAGAATAGGCATAATTCTGACTGAAGTTCTGGTTTCTATATTTGGATAATTTAAGCTACTGTAATAATCGTGGGTTATTTAGATTCTAAAAGTCTAAAAAAAGAAAAGTTTATAATCTGAAGTCAGGGCCTTGTTACTGAATCAGGGTTTGCTTCCCTAAATTGACAGCTTTGCCAGAACCACAGACACCTTTATGGGCACAGTGAATTGTTTAATTTGCATTGCTCCCACTATGCATAGACTGTGAGGCCAAAATTCAGCATGTTGAATTACCTGAGTGGAACTAAGCATGTGTGTGAAAGACAGAGAAAGAGAGAGTTCTGCCATGCACCTGCCCACTGTATCTTGTAGAATTAAGTTATAATTACAGTTGGTCCAATAAAAGCTATCACCAAAAACCTTTGCGTCTTGCGTATTTACTGTCTTTACCCCTCAAAAATTTACTGGAGCATCATGGCCGCAGTATCACTCCACTCCTTTACACTAGGAGGTGTCAAACTCATCTTGTGGCCAGGCCAGATCTACACCATAGTGTCCTTGCTGGCTGTTTCTAGCCTTGGGCACAAAGAAGCAGCAGCTGCAGCTCTGACATGGAGCATGTGGCGGCGGCAGCAGCAACTGAAGCTCTGATCCAGTTCATGCATTGGCAAGTCCAGCCCCTGCCGCATGTCCCATGCTGGAGCTGCCACTGTCCTGTGCCATGGCATCAGCTCCAGCTCTGGCTCCAGCATAAGGCACGCAGTAAGGGCCGGCAACTGGGGAGGTAAGGCCATGACTGGCAACAGAGGAAGCAGCCAAAAAGTGACTGGGGCTGTTAACCCTCACTTGTCCTCCTACAGCCAATTGCCATGTACATCAGGGCCCAGATTGTGCAACAGCTGACACTTCCCCTCCCCAGCCATGCCCTGCAAATTTCATGGCCTGCTGGTAATCGAGTAGGTCAGATAAGAGTGCTTCATGAGCAGGATCTGGTTTGCAGGCGAGATGTTTGACACCCGTGTTCTACAGCATTGTGTGTTGTTGCCATGTATCTTCAGTTCCTTCCACCAGATGGCAACCTATAAAAAAATGTTTCTTCTAAAGTGCATGTTATAAGAGGAAATGTGTGTCTATTATGTAGGCAAGGTTCTTTGAGTAGATGTGATATCTTTTATTAGACCAGCTGAGTAGTTGGAAAAAAGTTTTTGGCAAGCTTTCGGGCACAGTCACACTTCTTCAGGCATAGGGAGTCTCAGCTGGTCTATTATTATATGTATTTTGGCAGTCTTGGGACCCTCAATCAGGTACAAATGCAATGACCATAAAACCATCCCTGCCTTGCCAACCTGATAAGTATTAAGCAGGTTAGAAAAACTGAACATTGAAATTCCTAATTTTCAAAGTCAGGCACATGTAAATCATCTCCACAGACCATTGTTTCTTCCATATAAAAATACCTTTCAGCATGAATGGCTGGTGCCTCCCGCAACTGGCGGGGGCACCATGGCAGTGAGCGAGGACTGCATGCAGTTGCTACCGGTGGTGTCAGCAGCTGAGGGGGTGGGGGTGAGCGGGAACCACTTGCACCTGCTGCCAGCCACATCAGCGAAGGGAGGGTGGGTGAAGGCAGCAACTGCCCACAAAGCCAGCAACAGCTTCAGCGGCATCCAATCTCAGGGGGGCACATGCCCCTCTCTGCCCACCCTATGCATCATCTGTGCCTTTCAATGTATGTGCTCTTCAAGCTGCTGTTATGGTTCCAGGTTCTCTGTAATAGTACAAACAACAGTGACTTGGGGAAAACAAGTTGCATTCTCCAGCAGATGAAGAAAGCTAATATTCCCAGTTCAACTTTATGTGTTCCTCACTACTCCTATTTATTACACTGAGAGAAGCTGACACTGGGTTCATCTACACATGCACTTTACTGCAGAGTAGCCTAATTAGCTCCACAAAAAGCATTGTAGTCTACATGTGTTGGCATTAGGGTGCAGTAAACTAATTCTGCCATAGGATAATACTGTCAGGAACAGTACTATCTTACAGCAGAGTCATTAAGTGTGATCAAACACATGTATAGACGGTGACTGCTGGGCATAAATTGTGCCCAGTCAGCCCAGTGAGCTGGGAGCCAGCCTCTCTGCCACCTTATGCTACTACCCAGAGCCTGCTCCACCTTGGCTAAAATTGTTGCTGGGGCACACCAGTAGATGCTGTACTTGGGAGCAGTTTATTCTGGCACAAACTGTTCTGGGGTTTATTGCCTCACCTTAATTACTCATGCAGATGCACCCACTGAGATAAAAAATGAGTGCTTAGCCTGTAGGAAGAGCCTCGCTGTTCACACATTTATAGATTCCCACAGAGTCATCTTGTTGGATTAGGATTATCAGCAAATAGGATTGTTTTCAGGGGGAAAAAAAGATTTTTTTTCCAGCAATAAACAGTAACAGGGCCTGTTAGAAATAACCCAAAGCCTGGTGAAGACGATGCAAGCCTTCCAATTGTTTGGGTGGCTTGCCTGGCCACTATAGTGCAGAAATCTATCCCTATTAGCAGAACAGTCTGTGGAGCAGACATCATTATGACATGTACAGTGGCCTTTGTTCAAAAGGTATCTCCCTGAGTTTGATCTTACTTTTTTTTTTTTAACATGGCTGCTAGCCCTGTGGCTTCTTAATGCTTAAGTGGATTCCACATTGTTGCAGCTGTGCAAGGGTAGAAGGACTCACCTTTACATTCATCATGCTTGTGAACATGTTACAGTGACACAAACTGAATGCAATGCATTTGTTCCCATGGTGCCCAAATGCAAACACTTCTAAGAGTAGTAGCTAATTCTGTGATTAGAAGTCTCTGACTTGAGTTAAAGGTAGAGTGACTTCCCCACCCCACTCCCCATTGTCAGATGTCCCTAAGCTACTAAAATAAACAAGTTACACCAAGCATCAAGTCAAAGACCTGTGCTTTTGTTGAGAGAGCACGAGCTATTTCTAGCATATGGTTGCTGTACCACACTGGGGAGAGTTCAGCTGTTTCAAATTCCTAGAACCCCAATTATAATTATTGAATTCCCTGCCCATCTGCCTAGCTGCAAAAAAACAGATGATTCTGCACCATTATTAAATTAAACATGCCATCCATTGGGCAATCCTGACCCTAATTTTTCATCCCTTTACCAGGGGGTGACTAGGTCTTTTTCACACTGGTGAGACACAGCAAAGGAACTAAATTTGCCTATATGTTTATGCATTGATGCCTGTGTTAAACATTAAACTAAATTAAGGCATCAACTCAATTACCTATCCTACAATAGAGCAGCAAGGTACTTCCTGGTCAATTTAATTTTACTGTCCCAAGGGACTTCAGTATTGCCAACCCAACCATGTCAAAAATCATGAAACAAGCTCTTAAAAATCAAGAGATTTGGAATGTAAATCATAAGATG